CTCAATATATAAATATATTGATGCTCTTTTGTGGGAAATAACGGTATTAAAAATTATACGATTGAAAGATAATAATCTCTTATATCTGACAATTCTTTTTGAAGAATATTTTTTTTTTAATCTCTTTGAGATATTTTTGTGCAAGAATGGTAAAATGGAGTCTTGTATTTAATTGATAAAATAAATTTGACCGAATTTTTACCAAACTTTTGTTTCGTAATCGTAGGCTGCACGGACATCCATGGCAGACCCGTTCTCGAATTCGAGGACGAGCCGTCCAGAAGGGAGGCCCTCTCTGTCAAGGAAGTGTCATCGTTTCTGCTCTACCTCGCCCGTTTACCGAGGTAATTATACGAAATCGATTTTTCTTCTTATCATTATTTGTAGAATAGAAAAAGAAGATATATTTTGTGACAGGAATATGATATTAGAATGTTTTATAAATAATGCAAATTTTTTTGAAATCTGAACAAATCACTAGGAACGAGAATAAGAATGATTAAGGAAATATACGAATACAATTTTTTTATAACAATAATTAATTAATAATTAATTGAATTAGAAATAGGTAAGAATTTTTTTATTTCTATATTCGCCATTGTATAGTAAACTTTCTATAATTAATTAGTTGTATTATTTTCTAATATTTTCTCTTATTGTGTGAGATTAATTGCTATATTTTTATTAAGTGATCTATTTTTATTTCATGTATCATATTATTTTGTCTTATTTGATAATATCATTTGAAATGATCAGTAAAATTTTATTATTATATATATATATACTTATAAGTAAGAATGCTTTTATTAATAATTGATAGAAAATAAATTTTTCCATTTAGTTTTTAAAAAATATATATTCTGATATGTTTAATCTTAGTTTTCAAGAAAATTATATTATTTTTTTGAAATCAAGCGATAATGTTAATCAATTACAATCTTCAACTAATGGATTGTAAATAAAGTTATTAATCGATTGATTTTAATTTGATTGAATTACTTATCAATATGATCTTTTGAAATCAACATTTAAAACGTTTTATATTACCCAAATTTTGGGAAATCTGAGAAACAAATTATAAATGGATAAATTTAAACAACTTGAATTGCCTTTTAAAATCACTATTAAAATTTAACACCTTAATAAGTATTTTCTAACAAAAATCAGATACATTCTCAAAACTGAATTCACATATTTCCAACAACTATCATATACAACAACAGATACAAAATAATATATCTAATTTTAATAATTCATTCTCAATATTCGATACTTCCTAAACAATCAACATCTTCAATATCTTATTTTATCTCCTAAATAATCATATATGCATATTCTCAAAGATGAACGAATCGCTTTTTTCCAACAACGAGGAAGAATAATATGATATCTCAATAATCGATTCTCCTAAACAAAAAGAAAAAAAAAATTCATGCTTCACACGTTGCGCAGAAAATTAATGATTTATCGCGGTGACCGTATTTCCCGCGATAATAACGGCGATTCATTAATCCGGTTGCCCAAGTACAAGCTTTCCAACACGGTGTATACGTGTGATCGACGACGGTTTCCGTAATAATTATAATTTTCCACGGCCGTGACATCGGCGACACGCCCACCGTAATCACCGTATACGAGGTGGCAAAGCCAAGGCATGAATATCGTTCCCCGCTACGTGTTCGCAAACTACGATTTTCCTATAGGCCTTCCTCGCCGCGACAACCCGTGACGCGTGGGTTTATTAATTAACGCGAGGGCGCGATATTTTTTTCTAATTAGCCCGCTCGGCCGAGACTAATCGAAATCCAGTTGAAAAATTACTATCGCCGATAATTACCGCGCCTCGTTGCCCGATAATTCAATTATCGCTGATAGACGACCGATATTATCGGGAATTTCAATCAGTCCCATCGTCTTTGCAAGATTAACGCCGATTTTTACGCGATAACGCCGGGGATAATATTACAGTTATATAGAGATGTAAAATTTCGTTTCCAGAGTAAGGGAATTTTTTTAATTTTATCTACGGTCGGTATATATTATGTATTAATTAATTATGCGCAAGTGTATTGTATTTCATAAATTTGATTTTAAATATTTAATATTTTTGTGTCGAAAATTACAAGTTTTCGATTTTTTATGATCTCTTGCTTCAGAATTTAATTTATCAATCAGACTTGCGTATAAAAATCAGTCAAAAATAAATATAATAGCTTTCAAAAAAACTTATATTTTTTACTTTCGTACATATAACGGAGATCTCTTTCTAGAACAAAAACTAATTCTCTTAATCTTGTTCTCGTTTTAATAAAAAAAAAAAAAATTTTTACAGAAAAGCTTTAGCATGAAATTAAGATTAATATCGATATAAATATAATAATTTTATCATATTTTTGCACTTGAAATATAATATCAAAGAACAATCTAAAATGTAAGAAAGTTAAATAAAGATACGCATGTGCATAAAGAAATATACATTTTAAATTTCATTTTGTCAAAAATTTATTTTCTTCTTATTTTTTTGAATTAATATGATAATATTTCATTACAAATAAATGGTTCACTAGGATTACCATTTGACTTACGATTAACGAGTACCAACGAAATTAAAATTCTGTTCGATCGTTAGAAAGCCTCACTTTGTCGCGGTTGACTTCAATGTCATTAATATTTCCACCTCCACGTCCTGGACAATGACCGTGCATACCGTCAACCCGCGTTGTTTGCATAAATTCTGAAAGGTGAAACTACCCAGGCTCTATTCAAAGAAATTAATTTCCACGTTTCTCGCGTACACGCGGCGGCGTTCTCCATTCTTCTCTCTTTGAAAATCCACGAGTTATTATCCCGCGATTTCACACTGTGTACGCATCGGTATCCGCTAATCGCCTGTAATTAAGTTGACGAACGACGGCCGAGGTTGTGTCTCCCATAGTTCGCGGTAATAAGTAACCGTAAGGCCGTAAATAATAGAAATGGAAAACAGGTGTCGCCCTTTCTCTCCAGGCGAAATTCTTTCCAATTTTTCGATCGTATCGTATAAGTATAAGCGTTAAAACGGTTGTTCACGGCTGTGTTGTTGCCCACGTAGGCGAATAAAAGGCACCGGTGGTACCGGGAAAGGCGGTAAATCATTCGCCACTTAACGCGTCGGGGGGAATAGAATTTTGAATAACGATCGTCCATTATCGGTGGTGTATCGAGGAAAGCGTGCAACACGAGGAAACTGAATATATTTCACATTACATAATATGTCTATTGTTCGGAGAAAGTGCATATTTCATTGATAAGAATCGGGCATAAAGCCAATTTATTTTATTGCTATCCTTGCCGTGCCGCCGGTGCCCGCCGATCGATCGTCGGGATCTTTGCCAATTCTACCCGATATCGGAGCGCCTCCAATACCAATTTCCTGATCGAGTATTCCATGCATCTTTGATTGGTCGATACGATTTTTTTCTTTTTTTTCATATATTTCCTTTGATGATTGCAGCTTTGAAAATTGGAGAAAAATTTTTGTGGATTCTTCCTTTTCTAAAATTAATAAATTATTAATATATTTGTATCATTAAATTTTAATTTAACGATGAAAAATTCTTTGGTTGAATTATTTCTCGATATCATTAGTAATGAATCGATAACACAACAGTCAACGTATTTCAATAAATTTATTTTCAATTATATCATGTATACACAATAAATCGATTCCTTATTTCTAGAAATATATTCCTAGAATCAATTCATGCTATTCAGCATAACAGGACGTAACGTACACAAATATTCTTTCATGTCGTCAATTTAATTTTTATTTCCATAAAATAAAATGTGGCTCGTTATGCGGATCTAATACAATTATAATTAAATATTAATATATTATTATATAAAGCTAGTTTATTCTTATACGTATACGAATAATGTTACAAATTATAAAATTAATTTGATCGAATTCTTATCTAAAAAATTAATAATCATAAAAAATGGTGACGTGTTTATCAAAAAATATAAACTCATCAAGAATTACACTTGTGTTTATATATACACTGAACTAATTAAACTTGATAAAATACTTGGCATTGCACGTACAATTGTTACAAAAAAAAATTTAATCAAATTCAATTTTCTTCGATTAAATTGAAGAAAAGCCTATCGATCTTAATTATTTTTATCATAAAAAATTATTGTTGAGTTCGAAAGAATTATTTTACCATTTCTCTCTCCTCTATTCAACAATCCTGCGCAAATAAATGAATATTGCACGTACCACCGATCGTCCACCGTTAATAAACCGCGGGCGGCAAAATTCCAGAAACACGATTCGATCCGTCCACTCGATGGATGCAACGTTTAAACGAGCAACAAACCAACCCCACCCCACCAACCTCCGTTCCAAAAGCAGCGGCAGCCCGATGAATTATTTAGTACCAGGCCGGCAAACGAGCACGAGCTCTCCCCCGGCAGCTCGTGCTTTTTCTTCTTTTTCCTCCTTTTTCTTCTTTCCTCCCTCCCCCTCAGTCGATCGCGATTAAGAACCTCTCTTCTATCTAGCTTGGATTGTCAGCGGGCCGGAGAAGTCGAAAGGCGATCGTAAAGGATGCGGGCGTGGGGAGGAGT